TTCTGTGTGAATTCCTGGAGGTCGCTATTCATCTCATCCTGTATGTCCGTGAGGTTTATCCCTCTGGGATATTTCAGAAGCGAAAGAAGTACAACGTACCTGTGCAGGTACTGTTTTATGTGTTATTACTATTTGTTTGCAGCTGTTAGGTGTGTGCATATTAGCTTCTCTAATACAGGACTTCTGTTGGTGTGTTTTATTCCAGATGTCATGTCACCCAGAGCTGAATCAGTATATCCAAGATACACTACACTGTATAAAGCCACTTATTGAAAAGGTAAGCTATGTCCTGAAAGTGACGGGTCAATGTCACACAAAGTGTACTCTCATTTCTCCTCTTACTGCTCTGATATCCTCCATTCGCCTCTTAGAACGATGCAGAGAAGGTGGTTGTGGTCATCATGGACAAAGAGCATCATCCAGTAGAGAGATTTGTTTTCGAGATTTCCCAGCCACCACTGCTCTCCATCAGGTTGCCCTCCACATTTTAATGTTTACTAAAAAGAAGCATCTTTCCGTTGAAATACATTTTTACTGTGACACTGGTCACTGACTGCTATTTGTGTTTTCACAGCTCAGACACGTTGCTGTCACACGTGGAGCAGCTGCTGAGGGCATTCATCCTGAAGATCAGCGTGTGTGATGCTGTTTTAAATAGTAATCCACCAGGTAATGTCATCGTGGCTCACCGGAAGAGAAGACAATTACATACATGCTTATATACTCATATACTCTGCAAAAGTTTTGGAAAGATTTTTAAATGATATCCTTTAAGTCACATGATTCAGCACAAAGTCTTGCCTAAGCAGCTTAAGAGGATTCTCTTCATTACTGGGGTAAATATTTGTGTTCACCTTTGGAAGATAGGAGGTGCATAAATTGATTTACCCATTAGCAAATGATTTACATTCATTTAAGTCTGTGCTCACTTTTCTTCATTGCAAACACCACATACTCCTTTAAAGGCTTACAGACACAAACTAACTCATTCACTTGGCACACATAAACATGAGAACACACCAAATCTACCTCAGAAAACTGTCAGAACTCTTAATGTCAGAAAGCCTTCCAAGAAGACAGAGTAAAGGTCAATTTTGATTGTGTATATATATACCTTATTTTATTTGACTTTGCCCTTTGACTGTACTTGAGATTATTTATATATTTTTGGATTTTAGATAACATTTTCTTTAAAAAAAATTCCATTAAAACGTGACACGGAAATACAGTCAAAGGTTTAGTTTTTTTGTTTGTTTTTTGACAGGTGTTGTATGCAGTTAAAATTTAAAGCATTACAATTTCTAAAATGGAAACCAATTGGGGTTTCATTTTGAAATACCTGTAGAGTTTTCTATATTTATTATTGCTAATTAATAAGACAAAAGTATTTCTTATCAGATTAATTGATGGAATAATCAAGCCTTTGTCAGAAATCTATGCCAATTAAACTGAAGTCCAGAGAAAGGTGACATTATAGTGCACATAAGGTGGTATGGGCTCATAGATTTGACTGATTGAACTGTTTTACTTTTCTTTTTTTGTCACAGGGTGTTCGTTTACAGTACTAGTACATACCAGAGATGCTGCTACTCGCAATATGGAGAAGGTTCAAGTAATTAAGGTGAGGTGTTTAAATGCACTTACTCAGAAACACAGAATTGTTATTTACATGTGTTGGTCACATTAATGTGTTTGCCTCTGCAGGATTTTCCATGGATAGTCGCTGATGAGCAAGAAGTCCACATGCAGGAGCCTAGACTCATTCCACTAAAGACTATGACTTCTGATATAGTAAAGGTAAGCAGAAGCATCCCATTCACTGATTCATTTAATGGTGAATTATTGTCATCTGCATGTCCACATTGTTTGGTTGTTTGCCTTTAACAGATGCAGCTGTATGTGGAAGAGAGAGCCCAGAAAACATAGATGCTTTCTTAGCAGAAACCATGCTGCAGGAGATAATCTGTGACACCAGGGAATCCCAGGCAGAATCTTCAACACAGCCTATCAGTGCTGAATTGATGAGTTGTTGAGGAACACATGGGGAGAGAGTGATGTTCCCTGTGAAATGTATTTTTATGAGGTCCATTAACTTTGCTTCTGGCGGCGTTAAAGGTTGGACTCGCACACTGGGTTGATAGAAGTCCTTTATCATCAGCGTGGGCCATTTTCTCATTCCACATAAATGCGTGATTATGGTTCTGTTTGTGAAATTCTGGGCCGTTGGTTAAAATGTATATATTTTTTATTTATTTCCCGTTATGTGCCAGGAAAGTCTTTCAGCTCTTCATCACACTCCACTGCTAAATATCATCCTTTTTGCTGATAGCAGTCAAGTCTGATATTGTCATGAATGTGGTCAGTGTAGCTGTGCATCCGTGCTGATACGTAATGTATTTTGTTGTTTTTTGAATGGAGATTTTTAGGGTAACCGGATGGAAATGTCCTTGTAACTCTATGAAATTCAAAGCATATGGAAATCAGGAAAACAGTGTAGTATGTACCATTAACACCAGTCTGTAAACTGAGATGACAGTTGTATTGTTAGTGCAATAATATTACTCTGTTTCTTTGTAGGCAGATTTATTTGCTGAAACTCCCACAGACAGCCTGTCCTTATAACTCCACATGGAGGTCGTCTGTCAGTCTGTCTCACTCTGTTTATTGTACGGTGTCTTAACTCTCTGTAATGTCCTGCCGAGCAGTTTCTTGCATGGTGTCCACAGCAGCATCTATCAGGAAAGCCTTCCTGGAGTTTCTGTGAAGTTAAAGGATTTCGTTGTGTGCATTTGCAACCAGGGGTAGCATTCTCTTCTATTGTTGGATGGCAAATAGAAAGTTCTAATGGAGCATTTGATTTTTTTTTCCGTTCACAGAAGTTTGTTTTAATATGTGAAAGTTTATTAAACTCTAAAAAAAACAAACAAACCAAAAAACGAACTGTAATGTAAATAAAGGTCTTGGTATAAGAATTCAAGGACCCAAACACATGACAGGAGGAAGAGTAACATCTGAAATCTGAATCTTTTAACAAGTTGAAGTCATACAAACAGGTGGTTAATTCCACCAAGGGGCAAAAAACAAACCAAGTGCTACAGGAGGAAATCTAACAAAAACCAATAATGTGCGAGAAATAAACTAACACAGGGAAAATGGGGAAAACAGTTTGTCTTTGTACAACCGAGCTGTCGGCTTTCAATCTGCCGTTTGGGAAATGATGCACAGGAGGTCTAAATACCACGGAGACTGATTAGCTACATGAAGTGTCTCACAAAGTAGTTCTGGCACAAGAATATGAGTTTTCCTGTCTGACAGCAGATCATTTATGGTCTGCATAACAATAGCTAGAATACCACATTAACACAAGATCTTCAGCCTTGCATGCAACTGAACTGTTTACAGTGCTTTTAAATGTAAATGGTTGGTATTGTTTGCACAATGATTCATAGGCATTAACTTTCACGTCAGTTTAGCCCTTAATAAACTTAAAGCTTAAATTTAATTTGTATTGTTTGCAGGATTGTGTCATATGAAACCAAAAGACACTTCATAGATTTAAAATATTAAAATGATCTGATACCACACGAACACGACAGGCTCTCTAAAGTTCAGTTCATTAAGAAAACACAGAGGTTGTGTTCTTTTATGAAAAACAGAGATAACTTAGATTGAGTTGAGGTTTAAAAATAGATCACTTTTTAGCATAAAAGTAAAAAAGTAGGTTTTTAAACATCCATTTTGTCTTTACTGCGTAGTGATGTACTGGAGTATGTGTGTGGAGTAGATGTGTTAAATACAAATGTATTAAAGGAAGCTGAGATCCAAAACTGTTGAAGCTGCAGTTGTTCAGAACAATTGGGAAGAAATCGAACAAAAGCAGAAGGTCTGGATGAGTTTGAGTGTCACTAAAAGACCAGCAGTAGCAAACATTAAACTTACTCAGTCAACTTCCACAGTGGCTGATCTTCAAATGACTCACAAATGTTTGTCTAAACTATTGCTCACCCTCAGTCTAAACCAAGGTGATCTAAGACTCCTGCAGTCCACAGAAATACCACAGTCAGTAGATCCAAAGGTATCTCCTGCCCAAAGGAGTTTATCTCTAGTTATCAGTTTGGACAAAAAAACAGCCTGATATTTTTGGAGAAGGATATGAATTAATATTTTACACTTCATAGAACATCATATAATGATATAACTCCATTTTCATGTGCCGTAGTATCAGTATGAACCATGAATTTGTATATTTTCTGATCACAATAAATCCGATTCAGTCACAGCTCATTCTGCATATGAAGCTTATGCTTTTTTGGTGTGTTTTAAATCTCTTTTCTCTCCTGACCTCCTGGTTCCCCTACGGGCATCGATGGATGTAGTACCCCATCACATATCCTATGATGTAAACTGCCACCAGTGCAGCTACGGCTCCTGCTGCTTTTACTACTATTCCAGTGCTGCCGACACACATGCTGTTGCAGATCCTGTGAATGGGAAAGAAAGGGGGCGGGTTTATTTGGTACCTGTGGTTTGGTACCTATGGTGGATGTAAGCTTAATTTTAATGGATTAATAACATGACCCCACTCTACACCTTTAAAACAAAGTTATACCACAGTTCATTCAGAACTTGGAGCGATCCCATTCACAGACACACAAACACTGTCAAAAACACAAGTTCTCTGGAGGAAGTAACTACATATCATTTAAACTATAAAAAATAGGTTGCAGGAAGTTTAAGTGAGATGGATACATGGATAAAACCTATTACAACCTTTCTCCTACACTTGATTTAAACTGTATGGTCAATGTCAAACTCATAAAACCTGGATTCTTTTTATTAAACACATTTAACCTTTGTCAGTTTAACTTAGTCCTCATGTGGTGTCAAGCCCAGCTGCTATCCTCTAAGTCTCACCTCCTCAGTGAGGACTGTGAAGCCTCTACATTCATGTTGATGTTGTCCTCATTCCAGCGGTCGTACTGCACGCTGCCGGAACCGTTGGAGTCCATGAGGACAGTTTTCCTTCGTCTCAGGGGCTGATCTGCTGGAATCACCGCTCACTCACTGCTTCAGTGTTGAGCTTCACTGCGCTCTGAAACAGCGAGTTTGGACAGTTGTGTCTTCGTAACAAAATACTAACACTTTTAGGGTATCTTAAAGTCAATCAAATATCTTGGGGCTAAACCATAGCTCATGACTGAAATAAACCAGTTCAAAAAGCAGTGACTGAAGGATTACAAATTCCCTTTATATCCTCACAGTCTTACAAAAGTCTTGCTCACCTGTAGGAGTCACAAACACTCACCAGCCTGCTTAGGAATCTCTGCTCTCCGGCACTTGTAAATCAGCGACTGAGACGAAGGGCTGTGCCTCAGCCTGTCATAAGTCCTTTGCTCCTAATCCATTTGTTGTTTTTGACCCTGTTAAATGACTCTTTCTCAGTGATAAAGGCCAGCTCGATGTGGTTTGTTAGTCTCCTGTTTCAGCAGAGCCTGTGCAGATAGTGCACTGCTTAGCAAAGATAGTTGATTTTGTAGAGTTTAATGGTTTGGGCTAAACACAACAGCATGCAGGTTTACTGAAAAGGCAAAATGCAGTACTGTAGTACAGTCCGTGTACTGTTTCAGACACATAATTCAATGATCCCTGCGACTTACTTTAATTACAGTGCATACAAGGTAATACCTCAAAAGAAGCAAAGGGATTTTGTTTTTACTTACCTTGAAGTGTCATATTTTAAGCTGAGAAGTTGAGTTAATGAGAATCCTGCGTGTGAACGAAGTCGTTAAGTTGATTTAACCAGTCTGGTTAACAAACATTCAAATCATTTGATCCTTGAAATCGGAAGGAAGAAGAATCGCGGTAGAAGACTTCAGCACTTTGGATTGACAATCTGCAAGGATATAGTGGATCCTAATAAGACTACAGCTTGCACCAGTGTTGTTTCACTCTGCTTTAGACATTCTGCAGGTAGAGGTAGAGACTCATTCATCATTAACTTGAATGCTGTACACTGCTGCCCACTTATGGACACGCACTGAGCTTGCCTGCAGCCTATTTCTCCTTTCCCTATGTGATACATCTCCCACAAACCTAAAAATAATAAGCAATATTGTACTTCTTTAGATTTTCTTTCTAAGGAGCCAGACTTTCAGATATTTTAACTGGTCTTGAGCAACAGTTCTCCAGGGTTTCTGACGGTCTTTCAAAGTCTTTCTTTAAATATTGACTGTGTTTTCACTCGTTTTTCAGTCCAGTCCTTGTAGCTCAACATTTTAAGAGAAATATTTGTTTTTGTTAACACTGACATTGAAATTTTAAAAAAAGGCACCAAAAAGACACCTAACTCAAGGGACATAACAGACAACTTAGCAAGGAACAATGTTACATTGTATCTTAGGCCCCCAAAAGGTTGATTCTGTTCATCTGGACGTGGCGTTTTCAGTGGGAGAAACGTTTCGTCGCTCATCCAAGTGTCTTCTTCAGTCTCAGCTGACTGCAGGTTTCCCCAGCCTTATAAACAGTACATTTGCATAATGACTGAAACCAGCCTACTGAATGAACAGTGGGCTGTGAGGTCAGTTCCTTGATCATTAATATGAAAATTGTCATGACCACCAACAACCACTCAAACCAGTGATCCTCCCTGTCCAGGATGTGTCCATCCTCATCACTGAAAGAGTGTCAACTGGCTTGTAGGTATGAACAGACTGCAGTCCTGGCCCGACGAGTTAGCTCTTCTGTCTTGTGCCATCCGCTTAGCGGCTAAGTGGTATGAGGGGGGAGTCAGGTAGGCTCTTTATGTGAAAAGGGAAAGACCATCTCTGAATCGAGGAGGGGGCCTAAGTGTACATCTTTCACCATCTTACAATGCTGTGATTGCAGCCATTCCCCAACTCTCTGTGAATGGTGCTCATGGCCATTGATCAGTGGTTGTTGGTCAATGGTCATGAGAATTTGCATATTAATGATCAAGGAATTGACCTCACAGTCCACTGTTGATTCAGTGGGCTAGTTTTAGTTATTGTGCAAATGTACTGTTGATAAGATTTGGGGAAACCTGCAGTCAGCTGAGACTGAAGAAGTCACTTGGATGAGCGACGAAACGTTTCTCCCACAAAATGCTACGTCCAGATGAACAGAATCAACTTTTTGCGATTTCCTTACCTGGATGATTGAGCATGCATCAAGACCAGTGTTGGGTAAGTTACTTTAAATTAGTAACTTAGTTACATTACTAGTTACTTCTATTAAAAGTAACTCAGTTACTTCAAGTTACTCGTTACTTTCAGAGTAACTAGTTACTAGGGAAAGTAACTTTGGTTTAACTCAGAATTCTCTTGTTAATGTGTTGCCTCAGTAACTGGATACCCAGCAAGATTGCCAGTCTTCTAGCTTGCTTACTTGCCACAAGTGCACTGTGCCACCTACCAATAGAAAGGAAAAAATAATGTGCACATTTCCACGAGAGAAATCCCACGCCTGATTCTATCCTAGCCATTCTATCCTCGCTTTTTACATCCAACACAAAAACTGCAGTCGTGGTGCTTTTGATTGTACTCAGAACTCGGAAATTCTGCCTTCTGAATAGGAAGATGTAGGTAACACCAGACTGCAGATGAGCTGCATACAGAGCTGGATTGGGACAAAAAAATCGTCCCAGGCATTTTGACTAGAGACCGGCCCACCATTATAGGAAAAATCATAAAGCCTTTGAATGAAAATAAGCACTGTTGTGACAGTGATGTTCACTGTTTTGATGGTATATATGTATCAATCTATCAATTGTTTGTTGTAAGACTCAGATAATTATTTTTTTTAAAAGTGAGACATTTTAAATGAGAATAAGAAAGTATTTCTTTGTGCCCCCCTTTCCCTTTTAATTCTGTACATGGACCTCTGGCAACACTTTGCTAGACCCGCCCCTGCACAGTTACCAGCTGTCAGCTACTTAGAAAAGGATCCTGGTGTTATTTGTCTCTCAGAAACAGTTCATAACTTCTCTTCAACTCATTCATGTTAACTAAAAGGTAAACCTGTTTCTCCATCACAGCTCTGATGATCCAGTAAGGACATCTCCTGGTTTCATCTTCATGTTTCCCTCTCACCACATATCCAAACCGATATCATGACCAGCAGCTTTACAGCTGTGGCTCCAGCCAACATCAGCTGATACTAGAAATTAATATTAAATAAATTCTAACAACAGCTGATCAAGCTTAAACGTGCTGCTGTTGTTTACCGCGACATCCGCTGGTTTCCTCTTTCTGGCGCAAAGTGGGCGATAAACAAACAAGAGAGAAAAGCCGATCAGCTGATCATTGATCAGTTTCATGATTGAAGTAGAAACAGGAGAGAGATGGTGAGAGGATGAGAGAAGAAGAGGCAGCTGTGCAGCAAAGACACAGAGTAACTCCAGCTTTGTGTCTTTTTCATTGTAGCTGAAACATAAACTGTGTTCCTTTTCACCTCAATACGAAACGCGTAATAATTTCTCTGAATACGAGACGATTCCGTTTTTTACTAGACGGTTGGCAACTCTAATAATTAACCTTATGAACAAAATAAAGTTCAACATCAGTAACATAGCACCACCCAGCTGTATAGAAACTCCGTCATGCTAGCTAGCACGCAGTACGAAAAAGTCAGCACAACAAAAATAAACTCCAACTAAACTTGGTTCATATCTGACCCAGATGGACTGCAGGTCGTAACTTCTTACCTGAAGTTCAGTTCACCTGACACTCTCGGACCAGCGGCCGCTTCGGGTCTCTCCTCTTGCCTCCCTTTTCCTTCATCCACCTGCTGGTTTCCACCACTTGCTAATGTTATTGAATCTGTGAGAGCTAGCTCTGCGATAGCCACCACACGAAGTAACGAATAACGAGCCTATCTAAATCCCAGTAACGAGTAACGCGTTCCCGGTTTTGGCATAATAACTAGTTACCGTGCTCGTTACCACAATAATAACGTAGTTACTGTAACGCGTTACTTAATAACGAGTTAGTCCCAACACTGATCAAGACATTGTATCTTATGGCACTTGGTTACTACAAGAATGTGACGAAAACACGCAATTTGTTCCAGTTTCTTTCACTGAGTCTAAATATCAAAGATGACACAGTTTAGCAGGGATACAATAGTAATTTTTGCAACAACAAGGTGATTCATGGTTAGTAGTGTGTCCTTAAAAAAGACCTGACATAAGACCTGAGGGACGGATCTGGTCCTTCAGCTGATCTATCCACTGTTCACTGAAGCTTCAAAGGAAATGGTGTCAGTGGAAGGGTGGCTGTCAGGAAGCCATTCTTAAGGAATCACTCTCATTATAGAAGGAGGAGGTCAGAAAAGAGGTACAACAAGTGAATGTCAACAGCCATATGTATAACACTGTGGAGGCTGGTTTAGGGACACCTTTTAGCCAGTCTTGTCAAAACTGATGAAATTATGAACACAGAAACACAGATTTTGATTTTGAGCCACCATACACGACCATTTGGAAAGAGTGTGATTTGGATCATTGCCATAAAGTCATTGCCAAACACACTGCCAATGCAGTAAAAGCATAACTGAATAAACACACTGAATAACACACAAACAGTGGAACACTGACAGTCATGGGTTGGCCCCCAGCATTAATCGAGCAGAGTGGGATCATGTTGACAGAGAACAGAACAAAAGCCAGCCAACATCCAAAGAAGAGCTGGATGTCCTTAAAGAAGCCTGGAAAACTATTCCTGAAAACTACTTAAAGACATGACAAGAAAGCTGCCGAAGAGAGATCAGAGTGTGTTCAAAAATAACGGTGTTCATACCAAACACTGGCTGTCAAGTCTGTACTGTACAAACTGTTATACTGTATTTCTGTTAGGGTCCTGGGTTTTTGACTGAGTGTTTTGAGTTTCCTGTGTTTTTTGTCACTTTGTATTCTCATTGTTGGTCTTTAGTTACTCCCTTGAGTGTAGTTTCTTGTGTTCCGTGCTTTGTGTTTCCCTCTGTGTATTATTTTTCATCTCTAGCCTTTTGGTTCTTAGAGTTCTCTGCCTTATGGTTTATGTCTCTGTGTTTCGGGGTTGCTCTGTCTCCACTGTGTCTCAGTGTTATACTTCCTGTTTTACTTTGAAGGTCTGCGTCTCATGTGAGTGTATCCTGCTTTGCTTCCTTGTCTCCTCAGTTCTGATTTCTCCCAGCTGTGCTCTCCTTCAGCCTTGTGTTTCTCTGTGTCGGTGTCCCGTCGTCCCTCATGGCTGTGTTTCTCTGTGTGGTTTCCCCGTGAGTTTACCTTATTCTTTCCCAGTTTCGTTTTTGTGTTGCATGCATTTTCCTTTCCAGCCAATAAAGCTGTGATTTTGTTCATCCCTCGTGTCTGAGAGCCTGCATTTTGGGTCCAACTCCTGCCTGCACACAGCTGACACCTGACGATTTCTTTGTACCTTTGCATTTTTCCAATAACACATGAGGTGACTTTTGCACACTGCTGTATATTTTGCTTCAAACAACTGTTTCTTGATGAGATAATAAAATATTTGTAGAAACATGACACTTGAACTTGTGCTTGCAGCTATATTTGAGCTCCATCTTCTCCCAACTTTAAATCTACCATTACACACCTCATCCCACACACTTGGTATAACTCAGGGGTAGGCAACGCCAGGCCTCGAGTGCTGGTATCCTGAATCAAATGATTAGTTCATTACCAGGCCTCTGGAGAACTTCAAGAAATGCTGAGGAGTCATTTAGCCCTTTAAATCAGCTGTGATGGATCATGGACACATCTAAAACCTCCAGGATACCGGCACTCGAGGCCTGGAGTTGCCTACCCATAACTCTTTAGGTAATTACTGTGCACACTCTAATTTCTTTTCACGTATTATTATTACAATATTGCTGTTTAATAATATTGCAAGTCTACAACTGTTTCTTGTGTTTAATGCCATCAGAATAATCCCACGCTGTTACGTGCAGATCACCACAGAACTCAGCGAATGCTTGCGACTATATTTCAGCGAGAGTGTAAAGTCTTTCCCATGGTGCAATAACCTCCACTATCTTGCCATGACTCAGGCCTGAGGGTGCCTCTGCTCCACTGACACTCAGTTGAACTTTGGTACAGGACACAGAACAGGCTTCTGGGTGAGCAAAGCACAACGCTGGGGCAACAGAAAGAAAACGGAAGCGCTGAGCTGATACTTCACAACACTGTAACGCGATCTATGAACCATAAAAGATGAATCTTGAGAGTGCAGATGCTTAAAGTAGCTTACTTTTATAGACATTCAAGGTGATTTTTCCTCCCTTGAGGTAGTACTATGTTCTCTTTCATCACATGGCTTCTTCCAACTTCCTACTTCTTACCAGGGTGGCTGACTCTAGATATAAATCCACTGGAAAGTTTACTCCAAGGTGAGTTCCTCATCCTTCAGCACGGTTGCGGGCCATTTATTAAAAGAGTAAATGTCTGAGGTTTGTTATTACTTGTGCTCGAAATTCACGGCTATCTGACCTGCAGGGCTGGTAGCTGCATGTGGGATCTCTGTGCTGTGCTCCCTGTTGAGAGTGCATTTATTCTTGGAGGAGAGGTGAGAGAGGTCGCCTCTTGTGTACAGACTTATGTGGTGTTTTGCTGAAGAATTTCCCATTTTCACTTTTAAAAATAATTGATTTTAGAGGGATTTCATCATCCACACAGTTTATTTTTATGTCTTTGATGTGACTTTTTTTTCCCTCCTCCCTACAACTTGGAGCTGGAGTAAAAAAAATGGTGAAGACACATCAACTCGGAAGACATCCGGTCATCCGATAAGGACAAAACCTGGACTTACTGGGCTGCTTCAGTTTCTCTTTGTAACTGGGATACTGTGTGTAGTGGGCTCCCGTGTGGCCTCACTGGTGGTACTAGAATTCTGTCTTCGAGCTGTCTCTGGATTGGTTACAGCTGGACCAGTAAGAAACCAATTATGTGATAAAAATATATATGAATATGCCTCAGCTGTATAAGGTGATTTTTCTGTGGCTTACTCTGCTGAGTTGGTGTCAGGATGAGTCGCGACAGCCATCGTCGTCTGCTTTGATTCATTCATCACTCGTGCTCCTCTTTTTTCCCAGGAGTCGGGGAAATTTCTGCAGCAGCTGTTAGTTCAAAGCCAGTTCTCTCTGGGTTGCGCCCTAACCTGCAGTTTGCACTTTCTACACGAGGGGGCGGCGCAGCGCTGGCTATGCTTACTCCTGGCAGCAGCACTCAGCTGGTTTCTGGCTAGGCAGGCCACAAACCTGCTGCACCATGTCATAGCTCTGTATAAACTCCACAGCTCACAGGGCTACTGCGGCATTTGCATCAGCCTCCTCACATCGGGCAGCTCCCTGCTGCCCATGCTGTGCAGGACCATCATCATTACCTTCTCTGTGGCTGTGCTGGCTGCTGTTTCAACCATCAACCAACATTTCCTCTCTGCAACAGAAGCCCTTAGGTTTTGGACACCACTTACTATCTGCTATACGCTGTTGGTGGTGTACATGCAGGGTGAGAAACATTTAAAGACATAAGCCCTTACAAAGCAATATGCCAGTAGCATCACTTGCTTCTCAATTCCCCTGACTAATCACTACAGCATCTGTGGCTGATCTAAGACATTTTTTTAGTTTGTTTAAATGCAAATGAAATACTTCTCCCTAATAGTCCTCTAATGTCATGGTTCTGTAGAAGAGCAACACCGTCTGCCTAGCAGCCAGGCCGTCCTCAATGCAGTGGTGGTGCGTCTCGGGGGTTTGATGGTCCTGATGCTGACTGTTGGACGCTGGGCAGACGTGTTCCACATCCTAATATGTTTCCTCGGAGAGGCTAGCTGTCTACTCCCCACCAAGGATCTGCTGGATGCAGCATCCTCACAGGTCAGTGAGTCTCCCTGGGAGCGGCACACGGGGCCAAAAGCACTTCGTTCCCACCGAGGCCTCCCAAAACTGGAGTAGAATATCAATATGTTCATTAGATGAGTCTCAAGATGACACTCGATTTTTCCAACTTGTATCCCGGGTGGAGAAGGTTTAAGACCCCCAAGACAGATTCAGGTCAACGTGATCTCTGACTCAGAATACTGAGTCTACTTTTCCTTTCACTGAGCTGACCTATTTAAAGTTGCGGGGTTTAAACAAAGTATAATGCAAAATAAAACAAATATAAAAAACCTTGCATTTGAATAGACTTTTAAGGTGAGTCGGGTCTGTTTTGCTATTAAAATGTAGCTCATGTGGTGATTGAGAATCATGCATATCAAGAAATCATGGCTACATTCACTAAGCTATATGTCTGGCTGTAGCTTAACAGCAGGCATGTCTTCAGTCACCCATGTTTCTAGCATCATATTTTGCTGTGTTCACACAGGATGAAGAGGATTATACAGAGTACAGAAGGAGGGAGCGTCAGCAAACACCACGAGCCTTCAAGAAAGAGCATCAGAGATAGGCACTCTGGGATTTTAAAGCCTGCACGTCTCTTTAATGGCACTATTTAGTGGAAATCATATCAAGGCAACGTTGCTTTCTACCTACAATGTAGTATACATTTTGTATTAAATATTTGACACAACTCATCATGTAAGGAATGTTTACAGTCTTTTCACATTTTCTAAAAGAACAATTTCATGGTTATCAACAACTATTCAATAGGCAGCCTTTCAACAAGTCCTGGAGTTCATTTTACTTCTTAGGATGCTAAGGATGTGTTTTTAAGCTTGTTTTCTTCCTGCTGGTTAGTCATACTGTTTCAACAATAATGGTTATCTGGGTCTGTGTGACCTCTTGGGAAGATTTACCGTTTGAGATCATTTCCAGTAGAGCAGATTAAGGTCAAAGTATTATTATTTTTTTATTCAGTAGATTTCGCATTTCCCAGCATTTTCAGTTGAGAAGCAATACAAAACCCATTTTTTATATTTCACCAACGCTGAACCCCTTTCTTTTATTCTTGCAGTATAAGGTAGGCATTCAACAGAAACAGAATAATAAAGCTGCACAAAATAGGAAATTATTCCATTTATTGGAAAAAAAACCCCGACAGAAAATGTAAATTTAGACTCCCATATCACGTCGTCGTTTTTAACCATTAAAGCAGTCGCTGTTACAGCAGGTAAATGCACTCTACAGAGGAGCTAACATTACTAAGTGTAGTACTGACATGACTGCAAACATCCAATAACTGCATACCACACAGCCTGGGCAGTGGGTAAGCTTATTCGTTTGTTTTGTTGTTTGTTCACTTATTTCCCCGCGACAGGCCCGCAAACACCATTGTGCTCTGCTAGTGTTCAAAGGCTGTGTGCTTGAAAAGAAAAGGCAAAATGGCTGACGACAACGTTAGTGCTCCAAAGACACACAAAATGGCGTTAGACAAAGAAAAGGCTAGTTTACTTGATTATACGTCGACCTTAGCTCCATTTTGTTGGACAAACACGCTGTTAAACAGCTAGCAAGCCGTATTAATTCACACTGTTGTTGTAATGGCAGCAAATTCGCTTTATTAGGCTACACTCAAAGGGGCTTTTTATGAGGAAGTTTGAGATACCGCCCTTCCAGCCTGTGCTACATTGTCTCAATAACAGTAGCCAAGGTTAAAGCCTGACTTCGTGTGACAATTTAACACCCATATCGAATTAAATCCACAATGTGTCGCCGGTGTTATGCCCATTAGATCTGTCTTTATTGAGAGCTGTGGACAGACAGAAACATATTCCATGAGAGGGTTTTTGTTATGTCAGTCCCGTCATCCCGTGTCAAAAAAAATTACAGGGGGAAACATTAGCCTGACGGTCCAGTTTCCACGATAATCCACGTCTGAAAATCACTGAAGATGAAATTTAGTTTTTGGTGTCTAGTCGATCCACCAAAATGAGAAATTGTACTCCCAGAGGTTTATTAGACTTTTAATGGAGTAAAGTTCCACATCAGGACGCTTTCAGTAGACATAGGGAGGACGCTCTGAGCACCCGAGTACGGTGAAAATGCCCATAGAACTGACTGAGCGCCGTTGTAACCTCCTCTGGAGATTTCCAGATTGTTCTGTCTTCATCTGATAGGCACAGTGGACGCATGCGCAAAGCAGTTTCGCGTGTCCCCTGTTACTGCATTTTAACGCAGGCGCACTTCTCCCTTTAAGTATTCTTAATATAGTAACAAAAGCAGAATAATGCCCCGCTGTAGTTGCAGCTTTATTTTCAAACCAAACAAGCCAGTGATCATTTTCCACAGGCAAAAAAAATTACAAATAAAATAAAAAAAATAAAACAATTCAGCTCCAAGGAGGATTTGGGCACAACACAATGTGGAGAAAATAGTTGTTCATCTACCATTTTACTTAAATGTTGACGCCCCTCTTGATTATGTGGACATCATTATTTGGTTCGTTATTTATCAGTCATGGTGGTCATTCAGAGAAAGTGTGCATGTTTTATAATGGGGATAGTCGGTCAAAGAAAAATACACACACACATACAGTTTGTATTTTCCCTTACAAGAGGGCTTATCGCCACTGTACTCTTGGACTTTTGGACAGGGGCCTGATTGTTTTGTGTTACTTATTAGCTTAAAGTAGAGCTCAGACCAGGTCAAAGTACTTGACTTAACAGCTCCCGGTGCCTTTTGTAACCCAGTAGTAGAAGCTGTTAAATATGTCAAAGCATCTTTTTTTTTGTTGCTCTGACAGACTGCAGGTGCAACATGCAGAAGGCATATGTATCAATTCAAAGTTTAAAGGTTTCAAACACATTCAAACTACCTCAGTGTGGTAAAGTTTCTTACTGTAAACTTAGCCGTGTTGTCTCGAGTTTGCTGGATTGCTTTTCTGGACGATCCGGCTTGGGGATTCTGAATTTTGGGGATTTTATTTATTGTGTCACTGCCTCAGCTTTTCTTTCTTTTTTTTTTTAACTGATCTAGCAGTACGTTGATCTTTTCCATACAAAAGAACAGTTTCCCACATAAGTTTCATATCTGTCAAAATATGAAACTCATGAAAATCCACCTAAACTTCCTGTAATTTCACTTGACACACTGACAAGCAAACTATTTTCTGTCATACATAAGTTATGAATTATGTGGTTTCCCCTATTTCCCTGCAACAGTGCCTTATATCAGCTTATGTGGAAACATTTTTGTTTCAGTTTTCACACACTTAAGTGCAAAACTAAAGGGATAAACAGAAAGTGTATTGAACCCAACTGAACGAGACAAAAAGGCCCTCCTGTGGTGTTTTGTTCTGTTCCAGATAGCAGTCTACTCTAAAACATCCCACCAGTGTTGGGAAGACATAGCATATTATTCACACTAATTCAAGTTAAGGAGAAAAAAAAATCTCTTAAACTTATTATAACTTATTATAATAAGTTGGTCACAGATTAACTTGCAGCACATTCATGTTACATTATTAGCATGCAGAGTAGCCCACAGCTGTCCTTCAGTTTCCTGTTTCCTGTGTGCAAGTTTCCGCTTCAAGTGTCAAAAACTTCAACACAACCTGTGATTAGAATGAGAGTGCATCTAGTCTCCTGATTCTTATGAATGACTGGACTGCAGCTACTGCTGTTTCTGCTGATTTGTTGTGCAGACAAACAGAGCAGTGATCTGAAGTCCCAGCAGTTGGATATGGTAAATGAGTGCCAACCAGCTAAGTGACAGGGAACAACACTGAAGGCTTTTGTAACTTTTTAACATGTGAGCTGATGGCTCACTTTACAATTATGGGGTGACATTTTTTTGCCTGTGCTTTGATAACAACTGAACTATTACAACGTTGAAACATAAAAATACCAAACTTGGGCTCACTGTGTGCTGTGCGCAGGATGATTCACCTTGCCACACTTAACTGCCACTGATGGGATCCTCTTGTGAAGCTGCAGATGTCAAAGCACCACCATTCAACCAGGGGTTTTCTCACGCATGCGCAGGGGTGAAAGACCGTCTCATCGGGGGGGAAAAAAGAAGTTCACACACAAAGCCACGCCTGCGCGGTGTGCCTCTCATTACAAGCGAAGTTGCTGCATCTTTTTAGGAAGCTACATGCTTTCTTTCGACACCCAAAGGTCGCATGGTGTCAGGGACGCGCCTAGTCACGGGAACAGACCGGAGCGCGTTCATGAGGTGCAAGATCGCGCTTTAACACTGAAGAGTATCAAACAGCGTGCGGGGATACAGCCTAATGGTTTACATTGGGCCACAACGAGCAGTCAATGATTTGCGCCAAGCATCTTTTTTCTTGTCCGCCGTTTATTTTGCAGAGCTTTTGTATTTTGCACGGGGAGAAACGGACATAGCAAACTCATCTGTATGATCGGGGAGCAGGAGCACACAGTATGGTCCGGGAAACCAGACATTTATGGGTGGGAAATTTACCCGAAAATGTACGAGAGGAGAAAATTATTGAGCACTTCAAGCGGTGAGTAGAAACACAAATGAGCGGCGTGTGTGTATGTGTGTGTGTGTTTGTGCGCGTTTTGTAATGTTAAGAGCGGTGCACGTCCAGCATCTCTCTCTCTGTTGTGTCACATTTTAGAGAAGTCGGGATGAAGCAGGAGGTTTCCCTGTAGCAAAGTCCCATTTGGCAACTGTGCTGTCAGTCCCCCCTCTCTCTCTCCATACACACAATCCGAGCAGCAACAACAACACACGGTGCTCCTGCGTTTGAGCTGAGACGAAAAAGCAAAATCTGCTAGCACGCCTCAGCCAGCCCAAGCCAAGCAGCCAGCGGACATATGGTTTTGCCATTTTGACACGCTTATTAACTTGTCGAGCTAGGTGATAACTTTACTCACCCCTCTTACGTCTTCCTGGTGCGCATTGCCAGCAGGCTGATTTTTAAGCAGGCTGACTTTTAAGCAGCGTACCTTTCCACCGGGTGACCGTAAAGAAGGGGCTTTTTCTTGTTTATTGTTTATTGTTTTTGTGGTGCACAGTCAGTGTAAACAAAGTTCAGTCTACCCGGAGAGCCCCGTGCTTTTATACGTGCCCGCATCTCCGGCAGACACCATAAAGTCTCTGTGTTTGCTTCTGCTGTCTGACTCGACTCTGTGAGTTTGTCAGGTCACTGCTTCCAGTCAGACCTGCACACACAGACACACACACACACACCGCGGTGTATTAGCACGCTGTGCACCCATCTATGAGAGCGTGCCGTTTGCTCCGTTCCTACATCTTAACACAAGTCTGTAGAAGCCGAAAGGTGACGCCGTCACGCCGCCGTCCACGCTGCAACATCGCCGCGGCAAACTGGCTGTGATTGACCGGGCTCGGCTGTGCCGCGGAGCAGATGTGCAGTGCTGTAACGCTGTAGTGTTTACAGAAAATGGTTGTTAAAACGGCGCTGACTCGCACAGCCTGCAGCGTGATCTGATTTCAGGGGAGATCAGACAGCATATCCATGTATACACACGCACACACATGTATATTTGTAATGCAGCCTGCCATAATCGCACTGAGCTCCATTGCTACTTTTGGTTAAGAGCGAGCCGCTGGAGACTGTGTGCCTTTAGCTCTTTGTTATCTTCCTCGGGCTGAACAATGATTTAAATACGTTTTCTTTCTATTTTTTTTCCCTGCGTGTGGCTTTCACGGTTGTCTGCGCGCTCTCGCCTCTCTCCTCTCTCGGCTGTCAAGGAAATAGCAGCCCGCGTCTCCGTTCATATGCTGGAAACCAGACAGCCCCAAAAACACCAGTTTGCCCATATGAGACCTTTTTTTTTTTTATTGTTGTTGTTTTGGATTTTTAATTATTATCACTGTGTGGGCGTCGCCATATCGGATGAAAGCTGCTAAATGGCAACATTAATCCTTAATAACCACAGTGTAACCGAAAGCCATACTCGTCCCACAGCACCCCCCACCTCCCCCACCCTCATCCAAACCTACAGCTGGATGAAATATAAAAACAGATGATATGCATTTGGTGCTTTGCCCTCTCGCGGTCTTATTATTTGCAGTGGGTTGATGCAGAGACTCAGCTACAAATATGGCTCGTATCTAATACGTGCAGCCTCCGAGAGCAGCAGTAAAAATGAGCTACCTATATACACCGTTTTATTTACATAACCCCCTGTTTGAAGTACAACGTAACGTTATGTTTGGGGGGGATGGCGACTGGCAGCATCTCTTTCTTTTTTGTGCAGTAGGGGGAACGGTGCTGGCGAGCCCTTTCCCCCCTTTTTTTCAGCTCGCTACCTCAGCTCCAGCGTTAACCCAGAGGTAGCGAGGGTATGCAGGTGCATGACAGCCCAATGTGTGATAGAAGTCATTGAAGATGGGGGACGACAGAATGAGTAAGCAGTGTGAACAGCTTTTCTAAAATGGCGTCGGGGGCTGTTCGGTGTTGGGAACTGGCATGCCAATAAATTTTGTGATCACCCTACTGTCTGTCTTGGACAGCAAAAAAAATCACACTGCTAAAAGACCCATTTTTTTGGTGGTGGTGCGGGGGGGCTATAGAAGATGATAACAGCTTATAACAAGTGGGAGAAATTTTCTGTAACAGCCTCCTCATCCCAAAATTGAATCCTCAGTTCATCAGGTGTTTTGTCATTTTCAAGACTGAAAAGGGTGTATTCAGCAATTATAACTCCCTTTACACCTTAAAAATAAATATAGGCTATAATATATAATATAAATATACTCTGCATGTGTGTCTTGTATATACACACACACACACACACACACACATATATATATAAATAAATAAATCAGTAAATTAATGAGGAATTTCTTAAAGAAACCCCATCGCTGTATAAACTGCTCAAACCTCATCTGTGTGTTTTTCAGTAGCTGTGTCTTCGTGGCAGCACCTTTTGCTCGGAAAACATGCTAATTTTAGAAAATCTATGCATTTATTAACACGCAATGTGGCAGGGTTTCAAGTCCAGTTGCTGGGTTACTGTTGCCGTGTTAGAAAGTATCACAGTAGGGAAAGTAAGAGTAGCAAAATTGCCTCATCTCCCTCGTTGCCACAGACATTTGTGCACATGTACGCACAGTCAATTTCAGGACTGTGCAGAACCCTGTGTGTTTTTCAACATTCCTAAAAAGTTATGCAACACATTTGCAGCTGCAAACCTGGTGGTAACCATGCTTTTAATCTATTCTGACTTTAGATATGGACGAGTGGAGAGTGTCAAGGTCCTGCCCAAGCGGGGATCAGAAGGTGGAGTCGCGGCCTTTGTGGATTTTGTGGACATTAAAAGTGCTCAGAAGG